GGATACTGTTCTTGGAGTGCCAGGTGCCTGAGGTAAGAGAAACGCCTTCAACTTATTAAGCAAGAACGCTTTAAAAGTTATCTTTGATGGCATGTGATGGGCTTGCGCCATGTCGGCTTTTGGGCCAAGTTAAAGGGCGTTGAAAGAACTGCGGCGAATTGTTGATTGCAGCTGGACGAGCGTCACGAGTGCCGCGAAGGCACGCGGTTGCTATCGAGATGCCATCCTGGTCTTTACACATCAACTGCAGAGAGCTGGAACGGGTGTGCTTAAGCCCTCCACGCGGTTCAATAGGAAGCTACACCCTTGCCGTGCCGATGACCTACAGGCCGTTTTACACGTCCTTGGTGCTTGTAAGCCAGGGGTGCAGCCAAGAGAGGAGCTGGGGAAAGGGTTCCGGACACACTTATCATGCTTGAACTTTGCCTTGTTCACCAGAGGGAGTTCTCAACAGAAAATTAAAACTTGCTGTGGTGCGCTCTCGCCGATATCTGGGCCTCTCCCTTAACTAAGCAAATTCTGATTGCACCCCTGTTATAAGTTCACCGGGCCCAGGGGTGTCATTTTCTAAAATTGGTTTAGTAGGGGAGTGACCCGATAAAGTCGACCTAACCTGCACCCAAATCCTGATTTCTCTCCGGATTTAGGTCATTTTACTGGCATCAAAATGTAAAAACACCTCCCGCAGTATTTGAATAATTCCTATTTTTGCTCATGGTCGGGAATGACTGTCCAGTTGAAGCCCATGTGAAGTCGCACTTGTTAGGAAAAAGGTTAGCATGGGACGTAATTCAATGAAAAAAGCATTAGGGAATCGACCGGCTGCGATCGGCAAAACCACGTGACTGTCGTTTATGGTGGCCCGAGACGCAGAAAGGCGGCGTGATGCAAAAATGGCGTGACCTGACACGTGCAGAGACGAGGGAAAACAAATGGGTTCACACTGCTAGGGTGCAACTGTATATTTTTTGTGAGACCAGGCAGATGTTTTGTTGTGCTTGCGTCCTTTTGTCCTGACTTCGTATCACCAGTTGACTTAGCTTGCTTGAGGTGAAAAAATCCGTACGAAGCAGCAATGGTTGGACTGAAAATAGCATCGTAATAGCCCAAAGTAAATTGGTGGTGTTCACACGGTATGTCCACCTTTTGTTGGCTCTTTGGCGGGGACACAGCCAGAATCTTGGCAAAGAAATGGGGCACAAGGTTGACAAAAAGCCCTCTCCTAAAGAAAGACCCCAAAAAAGGAAACAATCGGCGGATATGGCCCATATGTTACTGGGGGCCAGCTTTTCTTTATTTACTTTATTTTTACCTTATATAACTGAAACAGAAACCAAAAGCTGCCGCGAGATCAACTCTGGCTAAATGTTACAGTCAGTTAACCGGAGAAGATGCTGCGTCAAACGACTGCATGAAACAAATTGCCCGCACTCTTCATTTTACAATAACCAAGTGGGTGCTTTCTCAACCGATGGAAGTCAAAAGCTTTGTCAGAATTCAGGTCGGACTAAAATGCTAACGTATCTGAAAGAAGTATCTATGAACGCTTGAGGACATCACATCTTACCTAAAGAGAGTAATCCGGGCATATATTACACTTATGTGATCTATAGACTGATAAAAAAACGGATTGATCTTAACAGCAGCGCAAAGTGGTGCTGGAATCTGGTGGTGGAGCTAGAAGAATAAATGCAGAATTTCTGTTTGTGTTACTGTTCCTGTCAACTTTTCCAAAAACCAATCTTAAATCCGTAAAAAAGATACGCCCAGTCCAACCTTTGAAGGTACGAATGAATTTTGACAGGCTTTCAAAAGCATTATGTCACGACGTTCGTTCTCGCGCTCGCTCCGCCCGCCGCCTGGTGTTCCTTGCATTAGACAACGTCGCTCAGTTGCACGGGAACTGGAACCCCGGCCGTAGCTGTCCTTCTTAGATTTTAGCGCACAGGCTCAAACCTTTTGATGTAATTTATTTTACCAGTCGATTAGGCAAGATAATAAACGTTCTCAGACAAACATGGGATGGTCTGGTACGTTTTTTAACTGATTTTGACCCAATCTATTCAACACAAATGAGGCCCGTTTCTTATTTCCAGGAGAGGGGCCCCCTTGGGTAAAACACTAGGGGGAACAGTATTGTTTCCGATCAAGGACTGGCGGGTCATTCCGTCCCACCGCGGGCTGTCTTGTGGCTGCCAATCTGACGACACGAGGGCCGAGTCCCCTAATCGATCATGAGGCCCTTAAAGGGATGCATCACATACTCCCCCCCCCCCCCCCAGCCTGACGCGCGAAGCCTTCAGTCCCGCCCCGTTGGCCGCGGATCGACGCAGAAAACCTCATTGACACAACAACATTCCTGACCGCCGCAGGCAGTCTAATAATTGGCACAAAGACTCCAGTTCGGCTTAACGGACCCATGCTGGGATTGTGCTGGAGGGTTCGCCATTCGCTACTGGGGCCCTGACTGACACGGGACTGTTTCATTGCCTCCACGTGCACACTTATTGTAAGCTTTCATTTTCCCTTTCATTGTCAGAAGGTCCCGATCAATGCAAGAGGCCCTCTGGCATTCGGAGTCCCGTCCCGTCACTGCCTAACAAATGTTCTCCTGGCCGACTCGAGGCCCCTTGTTGACGACACAGGTCACCCTGTTCGGCACGGTGTGCTCTTGGATGATACCGGAGGCCCGCGCTGTGGCAGGGGTCCCGGCCAATGTAAATCGCTGGCCCGGCCTTTTTCCCTGCTTGGGAAATAGGCACCGACCGACACAGAGCCGACTGTTTGATGTTGGTGATCTCGGCCGAAATAGAGGAACGCTCTGCCTCCCGGGTCCCCAAGTGATACGACAGGCAAACAAGAGACGGCTCAAACTGACTTGAGATCACGACCTCACGGTTGGGGGTCCTTCGTGTGACCTACAGCCAGCCCTTCTGGCCCTTCAGCCTTCCAATCAGAGCCTTGATCTTTGGTCTCGAGAGACCCTTCGGGCCCGTCCTCGACCCCCGCCAACACGGCTCCTGGCGACTCGGTCCACTTGCCGACACGGGACCCCTGTTAGATACTGTGGGCCCCTGACCGACACTGTCATGATTTCAGTCACCCCGACTTATGGGCATTGCCGGCCCGGCCTTGCCCGTGCGTTGGAAATGAACTCCCGGCCCGGACCGGCACAAAGTCGACTGTTCGGCGTTGGTGGTCTCTGGCCGAAATAGGTCGCTGGCTCTGCCTTTGTCTCTGCTTGGGAAATGGGCCCTCAGGCTCATGTCGGCACGAAACCGACTGTGCGCTACAGGTGGTGTCTGACTAGCACATAGGCCCTTCTTAGTCACAGGGGCCTTGAGCAGCGCGCAGGGTCCTCTGGCTGGCACTGAAATGCCTTGCTATGCGGGCCGGCCCAACAATACGACCTCCGGCCGACCTTTCGGGTCCTTACTCGAAACTTAAGGGGAGGCACGTGCATCCTGTGCCCCTTCCCCCCCCCCCGGCCTGCTCGCTGGTGCACCTCCTGGGTCTCGCTACGGGCCTGCTAAAAACATGAAAAGGGCCTCCTATTCCCAAAAACGGACCTCTTGGTGTATAAAGCGCGCCTATAATCTTGAAGAAAACCAACGGTGATCCTGGTTCATAAGAGGGTCTTTCAGTTAGTAACGAGAGCTTCCTAGCACGGAACGGAGGATTCCTAGCTGATTGAGGGTCACAGCGGAAGCCTCCTAGTTAATAAAAAGTGACCCTAGTTCATGCCGTGACGCCCTAGTTCACAACGGGGGTCTCCCGTTTTACAATGAGGGCCTCCTAATTCATAAATGGGGCCTCCTAGTCCAAAACGGGTCCTTCTAGTCCATGACGGTGGTCTCCCGAGCTATCGAAGGGCCTCCTTAACACACAATTGGTCCTACTAATTTAGAGCTTGGGCCACATTTTTCATAAAAGCGATCTCATGATCCAGAAAAAGAAAGCTGTCATGCAGAGAAGTCTTCTCAGCTCGATTTGATACCCTTTAGCTGGACCATAGGGATCCTCTGATTTTGTATGCTCAGAGGGCCCTGTGCTATGGCCGGGATCCTATGTGTCAGCCCGCCGGGGCACTCCCGATCGTTCACGGGCCCACCACGTTGGCCTTGGGCTCATTTCGCTTGCTCTGAGGGTCCTGCACTTGTTGACGGAAGTTTCTTTGTTGGCCTACCGCGGCACCCAAGATCACTCGGGTTCCGTCCCTATTAGCCTTGGTGCCCTAGTCTTAGCACAGCAGTCGGACATGCGCCGATGAATATTTAGGTGCAACTGTGGAACATAATTTTACGTGCCGTGGACGTTGTATCTATCATTTCCGTTGGTTATTGAAATTGTGACGCCTGTCATACTTGTTCATCACGTGCTTAACACATTCTAAATGCTAGAACAGTTTTTTCGTACTCTTCATAGCAAACAAAGCAAAAACTCCGCTTATATCATCAGCCATCAGCTGATCACATCGACCAGCCGGTTATCAGTTACTAAGCTAGGAATCAAGTCCATTGTTGATTGTAAGGGTATTTGGCAGCGAACTCTAGTTTATTTTACCATGCTTTTTCCGAAAACGTAGCCTCAAAATGAAAGGATTTGCCATGATATAGAGAAAACGGATAAGCTTCATGTATGTGTAAACGCAGCGCGTCCATTTTGCTAGGGCTGCGCACAGAACAAAAGGTTCAGACCTTTTTCACAGTTCACAGGTTTCCGAATGCAAAATAGGACATGAAAAAGCTTAAAATTTGATTGTCGTAATGCGAAGACCTTTTTGGGGGAGACGCCTGAACTCTAAGAGGGCTCACAATATTGCGTGCTTCCCCCCCCCCCCCGCTCCCCACTTGACAAATTTCTGGATCCGCCCCTGTACTGCACACTTGTCGCAGCCCTCGCTGTCGCAGGCTATTGCGCGCTATCGCCGCCGTCCGGCGACGTCGCTGATTGGTTGTGACGCTACAAGAGCAACAGCCGGGTGAGCGCCGACGCCGGCTGACTCTACCCCTCCCCCTCCCCGCAGGCCGGGGGTCCAGGCTCCTCCCTCCGAACAGTCGGTGTCCGGTGGCTGCGTGCGGGTGTGTTGCATTGATCGCGTGCCGGAGTCTGCGCCAGCCGTCTGGAGCCTGCGCCAGCTGTCGTCATGTCGGTGATCAAGGAGCACAGCGATAACGCTGGCCCGCTGCAGCGGTACCTGGCAGAGCACATGACGCCGCTGAATCCACACCTCGTCAAGCTACGTGACGCCAGCCTGCAGGACGCGAACCACTTCATGCTGAGCGCCTGCGACGAGATGAACTTCCTGCAGATGCTGCTGACGACGCTCGGCGCCAAGAAGACACTCGACATCGGGGTGTACACGGGCTACAGGTAACCAGAGGCGCCCGGCACGCGGTCCCGGGGCAGGGTAGGGGTGACCTTGGCATGCCTGGCCTCTTGTCAGCTACGTTCCCGTTCTCATTTTTATTACATTTATTTTATTATTATTTACAATTACAACGAGCCTCGCTCGTTGTAATTGTACAAGAGGTGCACTGCTTTAAGAGGGTGCTACGACAGTCCCTCCGCGCGACATGATGGCAGCATCTCACGGCAACGGAGTAGTCATATTAATTGAACCCAAGTGTTGCAGCTAAAGCGACATTGTCGTCATGGTGTGTTTCGTTCTAATAAGTGCGAATCGTATTATCCGGACTCGTATATGAGATGCACTGCGCTAATAGACGTTAATGTGCTGTACCGAAAACGTTGGCTTGGCTTCGGTGCTGGGTTCCCGTGGCTTGGTCCGTTTTTAAGATTGCTGGAAATGCTTCAGTTCAATCGATATTGTTGGCTCTTTCTCTGTGCTGTCTGTTTGGATTGGTGTCGAGGATCAAATTTCATGAATTCTTGTTACCTTGGCCCCGTACATTTTTATGGTTCCTGATGCTGCTTGATGCGCAGTAATGTGACCGCGCGCAGTAATGGCGCCGGTGTCGCGGCCGCTGTGTGTGTGCGGCGCTCGGGAGCTCGCCGTCGTGATTATAAAAAATTCGAAGGTAAGAGAATGAATCTACCTGTTTTGTGATTATTTACGATATGTCCTGCCTTAAACACGACGAATGGTGTACAATGATTTTTTCTAACGTTAGGTAGGAAAGTACACCCTGACCTGTATATATATATATATATATATATATATATATATATATATATATATATATATATCCCCGTCAGAAAATCATTTCATTCTGGCAGCAGGCGACGGACCGTCAAACAAGCGGATTGTACCCCTTGCGTTGACATAGCCGTTGATCACAGGGCTGTTGTCGCAGCTGCATCCGAGGGTGCTGATATTATGAATCACAAGCCGTCTGCGTAGTTGGCTGCTGTGGGCCTATGAGATGCGATCTTGATGGTGCCACGTTAGACGCCCGCCGAGGATCGTGATCGTGTGCCCCACGTAGGTGCCATTAGACCGGCGCGCACAGTTACTGCTATTGCAGCGAAACTAGTGCGCTGCTTAGGTAATGTTCAGCGCGGACGGGTTTTGAGATAAGTTGTTCTCCATGACCAGACTTGTCGCGTTAGGGCTCCGGTAGGTTGAATGCTCAGAGCGCTTTAACGTACATAGTTTTATCGCTGGCGAATGTTGTGATGCTAAAAATCCTAGATCGTTAGTAACTTGTTTATGACGTGAAGTTCCCAGTCACGTTATTCATTGTGTGGGTCGGGTGGCACAGAAAGCAGGCAATCGAGGAAAAAACTGTCCGATAGATGGCTCTGTTTGCATGATCTGCACGTTGACATCCGTATAACGGGTGAGCAAACCTCCTATCGCAGCTGCGTTTGTTTACTTTGTGCGGGCTCAACAGTGTGGCTGTCGTTTGCAGCGCCCTGGCGGCCGCTCTCGTGCTGCCACCTGACGGCAAAGTTACTGCCTGTGACATCACAGACAAGTGGGTGAACAAGTACGGACGCCCAGTGTGGCAAGAGGCCGGTGTGGAGAGCAAAATCGACCTGAGGATCGCCCCAGCCACCGAAACTCTTCAGGTACGAATTCAGTCTTCATGCAACGCTTCTGTGGGTGCTGCAATGTTGAAATTTTGGTACTTACCATGACGTTTTTGGTACTTGCCATGCAGCAAGTAGCCACATGGTCCGCCGTGACATACCCAGACAAACTACTGCAACGTCAGAGCCAAAGTGAGGCCGCTTAATAGGCGTAGGAACGTTTCAAAAAGTAGAGCGGTCAGGCCTGAGGTATGCTTCAGAAACTTTTCTGGGAAGCGCAAGCTCGTTGACAGGGAGGGAAGAGTTAGAGATGGAGGTATTGTCCACGCTTAAGTCGTACGTCAGATCTTGGAAAAATAGATGTCACGGTTGCTGTGCTAGATATACATTTACAGCTGTTCCTCGTTGTTGCTAACCTTGCGTCTTAGTCTTGTTTATGCCATTTGGGAAATAGGGCCATCCAGCTTCTCGGGGTCACTTGTCCATTGCGTCATTGTTTTCCCTGGGGAGACGAAATTTCACGAGCGAGTAGGCATTTTGGATCACTGAGGAGTAATCTGCCTCCACAGGGTAGATGCCAAAATGCGACAGAGGCATGGGCTGGTCAGAGTTCCGAATGTGAATCGATCGCCCATAGTGCGCCCGAGTTTTCATGCGCCTAGATTTCGCCAGCTGTCTTTCAAGAGATAAGATTCGTCACAGTATTTTAGGCTGAAACAAATTCGGAAGCTTAAAATAGTAACTGCCAAAAACAGTGTGACAGAAGCCATACAACGGGGGTTCCTCCTGTAAAAACCGGTTCACAGGATTAAGGCCCTTCTACCATATATTCCTTATCTTCTCCCGTCCGTCGTCGGCGGCCACTACCCTGGCTCCGCTGTCTCCCGCATGATTGACTGCGAACTGCTGGTATGGATGCTTTGCTGCACATTTATGGATCAGCATAACGGAAGCTGCAACCCAGGCCATCGTTGTCCGTGCTCCCGACATTGCTTGCGAGCAAGTTTAAACACGTATGGAATTTGCTTCACTAGTTGATTGTATAAAACATATTACGTTCTGGCGCATTATGGATGGCCTTGTTCAGTTTTTAACTCATTTTGATCCACTCTATTCAACAATAATGAGACACCCTATTTCGTTCCGGGCAAGGGGCCCCTTAAGAAGAACACTAGGGGCACATTACTGTTCCCGGTAGAGGGCTAAAGGGCCATTCCGTCCCATCGCGGGTGTCTTTTCGCTGCCATTCTGGTGGCACGGGGTGGGATCTCCTGGTTGATCCGGGCCCTTAGGGGAATGCATCATATCACATATTGTTCCCCTCGCTGACACATGAGGCCTTCTGACCCACGCAATTGGCCCCGGATCAAAACATGAATCCCATTAACGCAGCGACATCCCTGATCTCCGCAGGGAGTCCAGTACTTGTCACACAGAATCGAGTTCCAGATCGCTATTTCTGTCTTCTTCAAATATATTGAGGGCCCTTGGGCGTCGATTGTGGACCGGAATGAGGTCCTAAACTTGTATTGGCATAGCAAGGCTATGTTCGTCTTAACTTGTTCAACATTCAGTCAGAGTTGATTGCTGAGAAAAATTATGCAACATGGATCTGAACACGCGCGCTCGCAAATCTTAGCAAAAACAGCCCCAACGCCTGGCGATGCAGTCTCCATAAGCCGCGCGGCGTCAGCCTCGCGGCTGTGACATTGAGTGATGGTCAGTGGGCAAACGAAAAAGATGACTCATCTTCAGGAAGATGGCGGGTGAACTTGGTAAATCGGCATGCATGTTCATTGTAGTACGAAAATAAGCTAAACGCAATTTCAATCTGGAAGAGTGGGGGGGGGGGGGGGGGGCAGTTAACATTGCTGGGCCCCCGCCTTGAAAATGAGAGTTAATGCCCTTTGCCCCCCCCCCCCCCCCCCCCCTGTGCCTTCACCCATGAGCCTCTCACCTGTGTCATGGCCGGGCCACGCTCCAGCCGGGATGTTGGATCGCGCAAAAGGCCCTGCCGACACCCAGCTGGGGTACCAAGCTTCACCCTGCCCGTGGCGCTGCACCACATCCGGCACGCAGCAGACGATGGCTCGACATAAGCAGAGACGCAGATGAGAAGGCTCCCCGCCCCCTCGTTGCGGATTTTTCGTTTTTCGCCATAGAGGGCTCGCGACAGAAAGTTAAAAACCTGCGTGATTCGTACTCACTGAGCCGCGTACATTGCCTGGCTGCGCCTCTGAGCATGAGCGTAACTTTACTACTTTACTTTACTCTAACTTTAGGCTGCTTTACAAAGCAATATGAAGTGAAGTAATCTGCACTAAATGTATTTGTTTCGATAAAACCATGTATCCGAAACACCAATCGATCTCTCCTCCTCAATCCTCCATATTGGTTATTCTGCAAGGAATAGAGGTATTCGTACCGTCTTATGTAGGCAGTATCTTATCTAGGCTTTAACTCTTTCTTTGGATCTGGACGTAGCAAATAAACGTTTTTTTGTGATAGCATTGCTATGGCAACTTCGGATGAGTATGATGAAAGCAATGCAGTTTTAACATCGTAACATGACGAAAAAAATTGCGGTAGAACTCAAACGTCTGATCAGACGCAGCAGTAGATCTATCAGTTGGGGTTCAGACCTGCTCGGGCTCATATGCTGTCCTGATTGTAATGTACCGCGGACGGCAGGTGGATCATTTCACTCTTTTTCGTGACACTCGGTGCTTCTGTCGCTGTGGTCGACATAGCTGACTGCCATGCCGATGGACACGTCAGTGATACGCGATGCTGAGCTGTTCTGCATAGTCTCAGAAGCGGCTGGCCCATGGCTGCCGAGCCCGGCGGGCGGCCAGTGTCCCGTTCCGTTCTGTCACCCGTTCCTGGACAGGCGCTGATTAACGGAGGCGAGGCTGGCACCTTCGACTACGCCTTCATCGACGCCGACAAGCCCAACTACCCCAACTACTACGAGTTGGCGCTGCAGCTGCTGCGTGTCAGCGGCATCCTGGTCGTCGACAATGCCCTCTGGGGCGGCAGGGTGCTGGGGGATGAGGACGCCATGGACAGCGACACGCGCGCCATCAATGAGCTGAACAAACGGGCCTCCTCAGACCCGCGAGTCCACGCCAGCCTGTTGAACGTTGGCGATGGCGTGCTGTTTTGCCGACGCGTCAAATAAGGCGTCGGCAGTGATGCCAGTAACGAGCAGCGGCGGAGTTCGGAGCAGGAGGGTCAGCTGTCCGCCCTTAGCTGCGGGAAATTTGGCATGGATCGTACACGAATGCATTTAAAGGAAAAAAACGTTACAAGCTGTCTTCCAGATGACCTGCTAGCTTTTGTATTTAAGTTTTGTTAAATACACGATACGACGTCTTTCTCCGTTTTTCCCATTCCCAAATATAATGGAGTGTCGTCATCTCGTCAGCGCGCCATCTGAATCATCTCAATAGGTGTCACTTCATGCTCACGAGTTTCTTCATCCGGGTTGCGTCCCATGTGTCGTCAGTGCGACTGTCAGCTGGTTCCGTGACGTCACGCATGCTGACAGAGAGGTCTATGTGAGGGCTGACGGGGAAAGCGATTAATTTCACATTCCCCTGTTCCTTTACCTTTAACTTTAACGAGGCAACTTTAACGAGACATTGCCAGCAGGGTGTCGGCTTGCGTCTGCGATGTTCGACTGAAGTGTAACGCTGCCTCGCTGTACGGGGAGGCTGCCAAACTATCTGACACGGTCATCGCGGTCACCCGCCGCTGCAAAGAAATCGGCGTGGAAGTCATCTCAAGGAGATCAAGGTGCTCAATCACACGGCTCAACCGCGATCTGGGGTACTCAATCAATGCCGTTGGCGCCGAAAAAAATTTAAGCGGGATATTGCTGCGATGTGCGACCGCGCAGCTGCTTTTTGAAATCTGTGAACCTGATGCGGACTACACTACTCGCAATTATCCTCACAGACCAATGAGACACATGTGCGATGTGGAAGGGACGGACTCAGAACAGGTGTGAATGGCATCATTTACCACGACTCCGATGTCAGAAACTGAAACTGATAAACCCAGAGGCCTTCAAAACATGCGCAATGCATACACCTGTACACTGAAGATTGATTTGAGAAGTCCATCCTGTACTAGTTGAGCTTGCAGGCTTTTTTCAGCTTCTTTCTTCTTCTTTCAGCTTAAGTTTTCAGCTTCTGGTTTTATGGCATTATAAATTTCAAGTTCTTATGTTGAGTTAATGACCAGGAGTTACTGGTTAAGCGATGTTGTAATGTTAAATAATTATATCGACGGGACTCGTAGTTAGACCTGTGCTCATCCTCAACATCCATTTCCTGAGGATGAGTGCAGCTCGAAATGTTGAATACTGTCGGTATAATTGTCCTTTAACGCTACAACGCTGTTTAACCAGCACCCGGTACACCGGAGGTCAACTCAACATACAAGCTTTGAACTCATAATGCGCAAGTTTGCAAATTGATGGCGTTTTGTGGTCAGCATAATGTAAGTCTTGGGGAACGCGTTTTTATGTGGACGTCGTTGCAGTAGACTTGAATATGGACGATCTCACGATGTAATTTCGTGGTCCAGTCTCTTGACTCATGCCACAGCATGTTGGACTTGATGGCGATTTCAAAAAAGTTGACGGGGGTCACCTTCCAATCGATCGCTGGCGCAGGTTCACTTGCATCTCTCAGTTATGCTCGCATATTGTTTACATGCTGCGGTCGCCAAGGTGGGTGCCATCAACCCTTGCAAACAGCCAACAGCCTGACCGAATCGGTGTTTGAAGTCCCATGTCGTATGGCCCCCTGCACATGTCAGACAACACAAAAAGGGGAACCCGGTGCCATCATCCGTTCTCTCCTTCGTTAAACAGCATTGTTTATGAGTCGTTGTCAAGCTGGATCGTCGAGATACGGGCTCAGTATCTGCCCGTGTAGAGCAGTCGTCCTTCACAGCAAACATTTTTCGTTTGCCACTTCAAAACCCATGCGAGGAAATGGTAAAAAGTGCGGTTTTGGGCGCTGAAGACCGCGAAAGTGCAATCGGCACTAATATTTTCAGCTTTTTATAGCGGTCGGCAGGACTGATCCAGGCAGCTCCAATAGAAAATCGTATATTTTTGTTTGAAACAATTATTTGAGGGGGATGGCATGCTGCAAATGGTTTTCAATTATATTATTTTGAACTCAAACTTCTGTTGTGTGCCCAGCCCTGTGCTGGCGGTCCAAGGACGACTTCTAAGATGCGAAGCGCTCAGGCTCCGGAACAGCTTTCTGAAAACCCAACAGCAGAGGACGGAAAGGTTATGTTGTATGCGGCTCGTTGACATTGACTGGTGTGTAAATACAAAAGTATAAACCATTCGGTTTGTGAAAAGGGATAAACTTCCCCAAAGGTGCGAAGAAGATAGCTTATTTGTTCACACTTCGTAATCACTTATTTCGAAGGCAAACATAAAGACATCGTGACGTCGCCCAGTCCATCGGGATCATTATATTTGATCATTATTATCCCAGGCCGCTTGATCATTATGTTTGTTTTAGATACTGCGTACGCAAAGAAGCATGACAAGCAATGGTGATGGCATAGTTGTGCACAGGGTGGTTACCATCATGTTTTCAAGACGTTTAAGACGTCACGAGGACCTTATGACGCGTCGTCGTGTCATTCAGCGAAAGATTCCCAACACCTTTGCTATACTGTGGTCTTCGTGTAGCGTGACTGTACAATTGCCATGCTGTTGTCTTCGTGTAGCGTGACTGTACAGTTGAAGTCTTAGGGACGCGGTTCGGGCGAGTCAGGCAATAATAATCTGTGAAAAACGCCCAGTCCACTAGACGCTTGCATTTCACCATATTCGAATGGCAGCAGCAAGCGCGATGCTTTCCTTTCGGTCCTCAAACACACGACTACAAAATCCGTTCATGTATTTACAAAGAAACAGCAGACAGCCATACATTACACAATAATTTACTCTGGTTGGGTGGCAGAAAACAGCGCCATGACATCTGCGAAGGCTGACGTAACAACCATACATGAGCATTGAAATATCCGGAAAGGTAACAGTTAACGGAGGTGAATGCAACTAAAACAATACTAGCACTGGTATGCGCACAATGATCACTTTTGTGAGCGGGTGAGAGAACGGCCCAAGTGATTACTAGCTCTCGTTCTCACGTACTAGTCACCAGCGCATGCACACCCGTTTGAACCAGCCGTCTGTGCCCACCTTGAGACAATCTATCTCGATTAATTTAGCCGATCACCGCGCATTTCCAAGCCGAGCCTCCGGATGGGGGCGGCGCCGACAGTGGCACCACCTGGCCTGACGTTCGCGCTAGATGGCAGCACTAGCTGGCGGGCGGGCGTCCCTGAAAGACTGACGGCGCGCGGGCGGCGGCGGCGGTCGGCCGGTCGGATGACCAGGTCAGGTCGGTAGCCAGCAGCAGCCGGCAGAAGCGACCGGGGCTGGGTCGGCGACCGGCCGGCCGAACCGGCGGCTGCCGCGCCGCCGCCGAGCCAGCGGCGGCGGCGGCGGCGGACCACGGGCCGGCCGCGGTCGGACGGGCTCTGAAAGGGGCGTGCGGCCGGTGAGCGTGGCGACTGGGGGAGCTCGGGGAGACTAACGGCGCGGGCTGGCCCACGCGGCGCGGCCGGCACGCAGTCTGCCGGCGTCGGCCGACAGCGGCCCCACAGTGGGGCTGGGATGCGCACACTGGTCCCGCCAGCGCTGCAACGACGCAACGAACGAGACGGCACAGCAGTGTTCTGCCATGCCCAATAAGTGCGCATGATGCACATAGTACCTGACAGTGGCATAACGCATGACAGCGGACGTGGCAGTCACAAAGTTCGTCTCATCCTCCGTCACCAACGACAAGCACACTCCTCAATCCACAGCAGTAAGCAGTGGAGCTGTAGTGGGGCTGTATTATCGCCAGTCGAGAGAGAGAGAGAGAGAGAGAGAGAGAGAGAGAGAGAGAGAGAGAGAGAGAGAGAGAGAGAGAGAGAGAGAGAGAGAGAGAGGAGAGAGAGAGAGAGAGAGAGGGAGAGAGGGAGAGAGGGAGAGAGGGAGAGAGAGAAGGAGAGAGCAGGAGAGGGAGAGACGTCTTCAATCCCCAATCCACGGTGATAAGCAGCGAGACTGCAGTGGAGCTGCATTATCGCCAGTATGGAGAGAGAGAGCAAGGAAAGGAGAGACGTCTGGTGACTGATGACTTGGAGCTGTGGTAGGGGGAGAGGGCGGCACGGGCGCTAGCAGCGCTCCCGGTGAAACTGTCTGCTGCCAGCCACGCCGTTTTCCGAGTAATGAAGGCAGCTGTGTTCCCGCGCGCCAGCAATGACACGACGGTTTCTAAAAGCGCAGACAGGCATGACTGGCGCGCCACGGAGCAGCGGAGATGCTCTCGGACACGGCGCGCGCGCGCGCGCGGCAGTAGACGGCCGGCTTCTGCAGGGCGATGCACCCCTGAAGTGGGCTGAACATGTCGCCCTCTTAAGCAGCACTGCTTCAGACTTAGCGTCTTCGTCTGCATGCTTCAATTTCCGAGCGGAGCAATTAGAAAATATGAAGCTCCAAAATCCACCGTGTGCATGCGCGGTGCGTGAGGCGTGAGTGCGCCGCCCGCGCGCAGATCAGGGGAGAAGATGTTCCGGATTCGCCGAGACTACACGTGACCAACTCTCGACGCGCCCGCTATTTGAACAGCGCGCGGCGAAAGCTATCGCTGGCGGCGCTCCATGGTACTTCCTTTCACCCGGTCCAGTCCAGTTCCGCCAGGGGCGCAAGAAGTCTGGTAAAAAGACGCTCACAAGCTGCTTGTCGACCCTCCGCGTTTGTCGTCCGGGTTCGAAGCGCGCCCTGGTAGAACTGGGCCGATCACACGCGCTGCCCGCCCCTCACGAGCTGTTCACGGCCCGCTTACGTACATCTTAGCAATGTTAACGTTGACCAGCCAAAGTCCGAGTTTCCGAGCGGGCATCTGTTCCTGCGCAGCAATGACCAACGGGTGTGGAGCGCTACCACGGTCTGTGTCCGTCGGGACGAGGCGCCTTCCACCGCGGGCAGGGAAACAAGGACGGCCCCGCCCCGGTGAAAACGAGCGCGCCTCTCGAAAGTGAAAACGGGAGCGAAGGACGGACGGGGAAAGCGGGCGCAAGGACAGCCGATGACCGGCGGGCAGCCGCAGCGGCGGCGGACGCGGCGGACGCGACGCTCGCGGCGCAGTGATGTAACCGATCGTCCAGATCGCACGACGTGGCGCAACGCGCCGAAAGCAGGCCGACCCCGGGCGCACGCGTCGGAAACCCGGACGTGCGGGCGAGCCCCGGCGGCGGTGGGGCAGCCGGGCGGCCACCGCCGCGCTCGGGTGACCCGCCGCCGCCGGGGCGTGACCCGACGACCCCGCGGCGCGATCAGACGGTGTTAAGTGCCGTGGGGTCCGGAGGTCAGACAGGTTTAGCCGCGCAGTCGTAGATACTTCCGGCGCGCGGACGGCGATGACGGCTGTTTAACTGGAAAGTCTCGCACGGCTCGGCGTTTTTCTGTAACTGATAGAGCTACGGATCGGCGCGCCGGGGACCGTGCAGCGGCTCGGCATTGTCTTGCGTCGACCCGCGCGAGTGTTGACGGAAAACGGCCGCTTCGGCCGCGTCACGCTGTTGGCCAAGCTCTGTTGCATGTCTGCGCTGAGTGAGACGTCGGTAACCTCGGCGGCGCGCGTGGCATAAAGACCAAGTTAGCCCTACTTAACGGACACGAGCGGCCCCTCCTCTGCGCTACAGCTTAACAGATCTCGTGGTGGCTGAGCATGCGCGAGCGGTCGCGGCGTATTTTTATCTTCCTCCGCAGGACACAGGGAGGGGCGGACGCCGGTGGGTGACGGACTCCGCCCAGCCACTCGCCCGCGCCCACAACCCACGCCACTCACCCATGACTGGCTTAGTAGGAGGGAGGTCCGTAGCTGGTGCTCGGGCACTTGGTGACCGTGTGGTACTCGTGCTCGGTGTGTGTGGCGTACACCGTCTGGTACTGGTGCTTGGTGGCGTACTCGGTCACGTACATCTGCTGCGGCTTCTTCACCGTTTTCTGTGCACAGAGAGGGAGGGCGTGCTAAAGTTCTTACGCTGGTGGGTGACAGGGCACAGGCACAAACTCATTTCCAGTAAGAACAGGTTGCAAAAAACTTGTCATCCATCATTCATCAAGCAGAAAGTTTTCATCGTTGAAACGCGTCATGTTCCGGGTTCTGATTGCTACCAAGTGAATAAGATCGTGCTAAGCCACCGCATGACACAAAAAGGCAAGTGACGCTCCCGGATTTACATAAGTCGACGTTCCTTCTTGTAAAGGAAACTATGAACAAGACTGTCCCATTTGAACTTTCCTCCGGCTGACACCGGCTTATCGGAAAAAGCAGCGCACGAGATGACCGCCGACGCACTCCCAGCCGTTGCATCCCATCGGTACTCACATAAACGGTTTCGTAGTAGGGCTCCTGCACCTTCTTGGTGTGGTACTTGGTCTCGTACTCGGTGTTGGTCTGCGTGTGGTACTCGGGCTTCTTAATGTATTCGGTGACCGTGTCGGTGTAGTAGTTGGTCTTGGTGGCGTACTTGGTGATGTGCTTGGTGACGGTGTGGTGGTCCATGTAGTTGTGCGTGTGCCACACGTACTCGGTGTTGGTGTAGTCGGGGTGCTTGTCCACCAGCGCCTTGGTCTTGTAGACCACCTGCGTCTCGGTGATGAGCTTGTACGGCAGCGTCTTGATGATCTCCTTCCACTCGGTGACCGTGGTCGGCCAGTAGAGCGTCTCCGTTACGTACTTGTACATCGTGTATGGCACCACCTGCTTGTTGGTCGCCCAGTGCGTTTTGTACTGCGTCATCTTGCCCCAGGTCGTCTTGAAGTGCGTCTTGGGATAGCAGACGGGTTTCTCCTCCTTCGGCGGGCCGTAACTGGGGGCGGGCGCGCCGTAGCTGGGGGCGGGCGCGCCGTAGCTGGGCGCGGGGGCGCCGTAAGTGGGCGCCGGGGGGCCGTAGGAGGGCGCGGGGGCGCCGTAGCTGGGCGACAGCGGCGGCGGCCCGTAGCCGGCGCGGAGCAAGCCGGCTGGGCGGCGGCCGCGGCGAGCCTCCGGCTTCGCCTCAGGCGACGGCTCTGGGTCACCGCTAGCCACCCAGACGGCCACCAGGGCCAGCAGCAGCGCGTTCCGCAACATTCTGTGGGCGGGCAGGAGCGTCAGGAGCGAAGCGGCGGTGCCGTGATGCGGCGGGCGGCCGGCGACAGCGGCAGCTGAGCGGGGCGCCGGGTGCAGAAGCGCGCAGCGTTGTGCGGAGAGACGGAGAAACGACGCGAGGAAAGCGGGGAAACGGGGAGACAAAGCGCTAACGGCGGACGAGAGGAAAGTGGAGAGAGGGCTTGGACGAGCGACACTCGAAAACGTAACAGCTGACTGTGTCTCCATCCTTTTGGCAACAGCTGACATTGAAATCATGGTTGCGACAATGCCTAAAATCACTTGAGTCACAATGAGGATCGTGCAATTCATAAGCGTGACGTCACTCCGTTCATCGTTGACGATTCTTTACATTAAGCATCTATCATCCATCTCCCATACCATTTGCTCGAACCTAAGGCAGCTCGCTGTAAGCAACGACTTCGCCAACATCCTCGCATCCCCGCGGAGAAACCCGCGAGTCAGACGCCTTCCGCCTTTGATAAATTGAACCTCTCACAGCGCTTATTGGCGTGGGGACGGCGGCGAGCGGGCGGCATGTGAACGCTGTCTAATCGGTGACGAGGCTGAAACGCGGCCTGTCCGATGGAAGCTGACGCCACCCCAGCCGCTCGTGCGTCGGAAGGCGCCCTGCTGGGGAGACCCACAGCTCCGACGCAGCGGCGTTGCCTCACAAATCCGAAACAAATATCCATTACTGCGACCGCAGCCTGTAATGACACGGTCGCAATGCTTCTGGGCTTGTTAGCCGACGTCACATATGGTGGTGTGACGTCATTGGTCACGGGCGGATGACGATCGGAGTAATGTCTACATCGGACCCTCATTGAAATTCGAGTCGGGCTGCGCCCTGGACGCAATCGCAGTGCGCACCAGAGGCGGGCGGAACCGGCGCCCCCGACTCATCACGCGCCTCCAGCCGGTTGTGCAAGCGACACGACGTGCCAGGCTCGGAGCCATGCATCCGAAACGCCCTGACAAAACTGCGCACGTGATGAAGAAAGCGCCACGGGGCCCGCCGAGCGCTGCAACACGGGTCGCGGGCCACCGCCAACCGTCGTGCCACCAGCCGGGGTCGCCGGAGGCCGCATCCAGCGAGGCCTTTGTTCCGGGTTAGCCGTCCCGTCTGCCGGACGCCGGTTCGGCCAGCGCGGCGGCTGGCACGGTTCCCAGTAGGTCCGCCGCCACGGCAGCGTCCGCGGACGAAGGCGAAAGCTGCAGCGCCAAAGGCAAGGCGAAACGCTGACGAAAGCTCGCGCCGCCTCCCGCGCGTGCCACCCGGGCGGGAGGCCCGGCGCCGCCGTGGTCGGTGGCCGTGGCGTCGGTTCGCCAGGGGAGGAGGCGGCGGGCAGTCGGGAGACGAGGGCCACCCGGGAGGGAGGCCCGGCGCCGCCGTGGTCGGTGGCCGTGGCGTCGGTTTGCCAGGGGAGGAGGCGGCGGGCAGTCGGGAGACGAGGGCCACCCGGGCGGGAGGCCCGGCGCCGCCGTGGTCGGTGGCCGTGGCGTCGGTTCGCCAGGGGAGAAGGCGACGGGCAGTCGGGGGACGAGGGCCGCCCGTCGGCGGAGGCAGCTTACGCGGAGTCGTACCCGACGAGAGGAGGGAGAGGCTCCGGCCTTCTGCCACGGTGGGACGTGCTCTACGACTGACAGCGGGGTCAGCATTCGGGTGCGTTTACGTCACGAACCGGCCGGCTCCCTGATCGCGGGAGACGGATAAGCCGATACAGGAGACGGGCCCACCCTTGCTCGCGCAGGTAGGGGCATGTTCACAGGTGGCTCCACGTGCGTCCCTTTTAACGATTCACTCCGTTTTTGCAGTTGTTAAGCAAAATCGGTCGCGTAAATTGTAACGGCTTTTTATCGCTAGACTTCAGGTGTCATAGCAGAAAAGCACGTCCAGCCACAAACCGATGAAAGTATGGCATGCATCTTTGCAATCATAAGGCATGCATGAGTTGCTCGCGAGTGAACGTGCGTGCGCTGGTCATCGAACTGGCTGGCCGTCGCGGTTTCGCAAGCACGACGTGTTACCCGCAACGAAACCCACACTATGCGTCATTAACCCAGTCTCGGACGAGTGCTTTGCACACATTCTGACACAATGGTTTCCACCACCCCTTTCTAGCGTTGGACAATACAATCATTATTCAAATGGATGCGCTGTCACGAGACGCTCTTGTCCACACTGTCTCTCAAACACCCACAACAAAGCGCATAAACATTGCACCGCGCTTTGTTCCGTTTTTCCTAGTGAAACTCATTGCAGCGAGCAGGGGGTTTGTGTCCTTCAAGCCAACACAAAGCCAGCTGCGAATGACCTCTGCATCGGGCATGTTAACACACTTGTAACGACAAATCTGAACACCATCTTAAAGCATTACCTGGCAGTCTCTCAGCACAGTCGCGCAAAGTCCCGCCCTCTGCGTTGGTCTGGTTTCACCAAAAGCCATACAGGGACTCCCGGAAGCTTTTACTCCTCACCGGATGACTGAGGTTCCGGTCAACCTGTCCACCCACGCTCAAGGTGTCGCTGCTGCTTTCGCACGCGGACGTCCCACGCCGGGGATGGCCCTGTCGCGCGCAATCATGGCGCGAAAGCCGCGTCCGAACTGCATTATCACCCTTTCATCTGGAGCCGAGCGCTTGGGCCGCGCTGTGACGAGACTGGCGCACCGGAACTGATTGCGCCAGCTGATGGACACACCCGGAGCAGCGGCGAATGGTGGCAGCGCCGTAAAACACACGATAACGGCCTCGCCTCGGGGATGCCGCCGTCTCGCCGTCGGATGGCTGTGTTCGGACAGTCACGTCTACGTGCTGTACGATTCCGCATTCTCCGCGTGTGTGGTCAGATCGTGTTACTGCTGGTTTGTCAGTGGCTGGCATGTGTAGGCTGTATGAGTGGATACATCGGAGTAATGTTATCCTAAAAAAGCTTACTGGATTGGCACAACAAATGAGATTGTAGCGAAGGAAAATTAATATACCCGCCTACAAAATTTGCAATGAACGCGCTGGAGGCCGTTAGCATCGTTTGACACAGGAAGAACAGTAAACCTTAGCAATTTCGACAGCCGGCATGCTCCTTGAAGCCTCCTGCTTTCAAAACCTGTGAGTCTTGATGTGAAAGTTCCCAAACAAATTTCTGCTACATTTAGCGCGCCACACCGTGCTCATAGACATACTGGCCCACATCACGAAAGGCGGATGACACAATCATCAGACCCGTCATGTCACATTCTCTGTCTACGTGCGTAGGAAAGCCCGCCGGGCCGCTGGATGTGAGCATTACATCAGCACCACCATGACGTTTGGCGAAATGCGGCGTTCACCCAGTTAGTCAGACAGCGGGACCGGCCGACGCTCGCCCGGCGGCCGCCGTGCAGTGAGAGGTAGCAGGGGTAGCCAGCCGTGAAGCCAGCACGCCCCATTATAAAGTCATTCATGTGTCTTACGAAAAGGCTCGACCTTCGGTGGCCACGGGGCTGGAGCAAGCGTCGAGGCAGGATGCGGCGGCTTCAGTGATGCATTTGTTTTGGAGCGGTATAGAATGAGGCTATTCTCCGCCCGACTGCTGCGAGTGAGGACCAACACGGGGAATTTACGACAGGCACGTGCGCTTGCACTTACGGGGCCTGTAATCGCGGTGAGCGCCACAGCCTGGGACGTTTAGCTGATAGCCAATGGATTTTATCGCTCGGGCTTAACGTACTTTGTGGACATCCCGCTGCGTAACTGCCGATGAAAGGCAGATCGACTAGACTACGATAATTCGGACCTGCTGCTTTAGTTTCTACTCCCGCGACGCTGATGTACTTGCTTTCCCATAATCATTGTGCAATGACCAGTGAAAATTACTCTGATTGTGCCTTGTATAACAAGGGCGGTAATTACTTTGCGACATGCGCATCGCTACCATTGCTAGGCAACGCCCGTTGTGGTCCGTGCGACCAAGTTCAGTCCGGTTGCGCAGGCCTAACCCAACGCCCATCACGCCCATCAATTATGAGCCGGGTTATTCTGAGCGTGCGATCCTCAAGCCCGGTTTGCATAACATGATCACTTTCTCTGCCCGGGGAGCCGCCGGAACCCAGCGTGGAAATTGACCGCACTCCGGACCACCTCCCGCGGGCCCACCGGACCACCGCGCCCTTCCCACGAGCTGGCGGTCCGCTGGAGCGGGCTCTCTCCCGCGGAGCCCCACCGCGCCGCCGCCGCACGGCTCCCGGAGTCCCGCTGGAGCCTTCCCACCGCTGCCGGGGCGCCTCCCGGCCCCGGTCGGCCGCGAGAGTCAGCCCCGCGCCGGCCGGACTCGGTTCGTCCGCTGACGGGCATGCTAGGGAGCGCGTTTTTGCGCCCGTTCGTTAGGCGCCTGTCATTGGGTCCGGCCCGGCCGCCACGGCGTGGCCGTGCCCGGTCGCCCCCTTTCTCCGGGCGGCGGGCGGCCTCTCGCCTGCTCCGCACGCGTCAGCAGCGCCGCAGCGGCCCCGGGCGGGGCGGGCCCCGGCTAGCAACCGGGAGAGCTGAGAAGACGTCGACGACGCCCGAGCCGCGCTGGCGACGTATAATGACCCCTGGAAGACGGCGAGAAAGCGCCGCTAATGGAACGATGCCAAGTCCCGTGGCGCGCCCGGACGCCGCCACTTCATCGATCTATTCGTAACGAACCCTGTCGACGCGGCCGCGGCGGCCGGCGCGGCAGGAGGCAGAACAGGCGATCACACTGAAATCGGGAGCGCTTTTGTAACCCACGCGGCGCTTGAGCGTGAATTCGTCCCGTGTCACAACGCGCTAGCGCAACAGATTTCGCGGCCGCTAGCTTGGGTGTGCCCCGACAGCCGTCGAGTAGTTACGGAAGGGACAGGATGTGATGCAGACCAACCGACGCTAGGCCGTGAAATCGCTAATTTTGGTGCACCGGATAACGCCATTCGGCCAGCGGAAACGGGCCATCTCTTAGACTGGCCAAAGCGGAAGTGTCAGGATGCCACAGCGCGCATAAGCGTCGCCCCGGAAGACGGACATGGACATTGCACTGGCCAGTTATAGTGAGCGCCCGCACACAATAATGAAACGCGAAAGCCCAGAGAAAGCCCACGTGGATAGTTGAGGGCTCCGACTGCGCGGTGAGTGGATGACTAGCGAGGCGTCAGCCGTCCCCGAGAACGAAACGCAGCAGCGAGCGCATTGTCTTTTGCCAGCTTGGGTGACAGCTCACAAGCATGAAATTGGAGGCGCACTTACACATGCAAATGGCCCGCAGCAGCCATACAACGGGGGACTGGTGACTTCGATGAGTGTGCAAGAGAGCAACGTTGGTGGAAACTGTACGATAGAAAGAGGGTGTAGCACCAAGACTGATGGGCGAAGGGACAATTGTAGGATGACGCAAGTCATTTATGATTAATGCAAGTTTGCCGTGAGTGTAGGGACATCTTAGGAGTGGCTTTGAACTTACGAGACTATCGTCTGCAAACTTTCAAAGACAACCGTGACATATTTTAAGACCTTTGTTTCGTAGATATTCCCATCCACATGCTATTTGCAGCACCAAGGTGCGTAATAGAGGTGGCCAAATTAGAAACCGCAGCCGGTTTTTACTGAACCAGTTCAGCTTTTGCCGTGGAAAAACCGGATGAAGTAGCCTACTCGGTACTGCCTCAACTTTGATGGTATGGTCCACGTCTCACCAAACACCCCCTTGCATTTTCAATGACGTTCTCGGTACCACATAATTAAACTCGTTTTTAGCTTTGAGCCAACGCTCAACACAACCACCTGCTAACAATCCGACATCCGGCCCCTAACAACGCCGTCTTAACGATCCGTTTTCCGCCACCGAAAAACGTACGGGGATTCCGCGCGCTCTTTTTGCCGTCGATTTTTGTCGCCGGTATTGGGCCAGGCGGCGAGGCCGGGCGCGCTGACTCGGCAGATACCGCGCAGGGACGAGGGAGAGCGCGGCCAACTCCGGCAGCTTTTCACCGGCCGGTCGCTTCGGCGCGCGATTTCGTGCATGAGCGCTCGGAAATCACTCTCGTCTATGTATAGCGACCGTAAATCGGCCCGAAATCATCACTTTCACCGGTAGCCGAAGGCGGCACGTGACGGGCAGCGGCCGGGGCGGCGGCGGCCGGCGCTGCTCCGCACCGGAGCGGTGGAAGCTGCCGATAAGAGACGCACCTGGATCCGGATCGCACCCGGATCCAGTATGGAGCGATCGTGCGCCCAGCGGGCGAGGAGCCAGAGATTAAGTACGAAATGCATGCCGGAACGTGGAAAGGGCGCGTCAAACGTGACTGGAGAGTGGCGTGCATTACTGATAGAATCGCAAAGCGAAAGGAATATTGCAGTGTTATGCGCCTAGTAAACAACAGCACGCAGTGTGCGGCCTAAATGAAATGTGCGAAGTTTTGCTTTCAAGCGCTGGCCAACAGCAATGTTTTGACACTAACGATAACGGCAGGTCAGCGTTAGCTTAGTTAAGTGTCAGGCGTTGACGCGGATGGCCTCTGACTGCGGTTTCATGTTTTAACCCTGACCACGACATTGATCACCAGATCTGCCAAAACCATTAGTCCTCCAAAAAGAGCAGCTCTGTCAGCTGGACGTCACCGCCAATCATTTATATGACTAAACACATTCAAATCGTTGAGCTGTGTTAACGCAGCTTGCGCATAGTTTAGGAACTCATCAATCATATTTGATTTGCGGGCTTCAGGCATGCACAATGTCTGTTTTGAATAAACAGGTTACTTAGTCTGAGCGATTGGAACATCCGAGTCAACCATTGACAATTTGGTTGTTTGACATCTCAATAAGAATGAATAAAACGACATATCATTATGCGTTTAAACCCTGTTCGCACGCCTACCTGGCTTTTCTCAAGTAAATGCTCGCAATTCAGATGGTCTAGAACATAAGGCTGAATTTTCACCAAACCTCTCTCAAAGTCAATTATGTGCTGCACCAAGGAAAATTATTCGGCAGACAACATGGCAACTGTGTAATATTTTAATCCACGTCTCTTTACATGCCACATAAATGCTAGTCCACGTGGCTCATTTTGTACAGCGATCGGACTTTTAACAGAGGACGCGACGTACGTCGACCTACAGCTGTGTATACAACCTCAGGGACTCCGGAGACCCTATGGGTGCGCAGGGGCTATCGTGCAACCAGAGACCAACCCCCTCCCACACGTGGTACCCGAAGGGACTAAGAAACATGTCACAACCTACGCCTCATCGAAATATGATGCGACCGACATAGAAGTGCCGCAAGCGCCACTGGCGAAAATCTGTCTCGAAGGGTCTTGTGTTGTACTTGACAAAGAAAACCACTTAGAGAACATAAAAAAATGAAGCTGTCTGTGTGCGGCTGATCTCACAGACGCGACACGTTTTTCACGGGCCGCGTTCGCGCTAGCGTGTCGGCTTCGCGGAACTGGTGATCATTGAATTGCAAAAACTCCCAGCCGGCAGCTCTTATCACAACACGCCGACGTTGGTCAGGCACGTGCCGCGTGGACTGGGGTGAGGGGGAGGAACTGTGGCAGTGGGCCGGGAATGAACCGGGAGTCGTGCACAAATGGGTGGCGAAGATTGTCGATTACCACCAGATTCGGCTGGTTTAATGCGCGGAAAGCTGGCAGAATACGAACGGTTTGTAACTCAGCCACACATTGCACGACTTAGTTCAAGTCAGGCACTATTGCCAGAAATGACGACAGCTGGGCCTGTAGCTGTCGCTTAGGCAAAGCGTCCAAAAGTGCGTTGAGAATCCAGTACATCTAGGAACAATGCTAACACTTCACTAAGCCTCGAACCGAAACTCCAACAAGGCCAGGCGTGCACAGCGGACAGTGGACCAGGTCCGCCAGCCGGAGACCTGACTGCACGCGGTGGAATCGTCCGGAAGTAATCCGAGCCTTCCTCGGGGGAGTCACTCGAGCCTCCCTCGGGAGAGTCACCCGAGCCCCCTCGAGGAGTCACCCGAGTCTCCCTCGGGGAGTCACTTGAGCCTCCCTCGGGGAGTCATCTGAGCCTCGCCCGGCGATCACTGATCACGACCTCGCCGCCGGACGCCTGCCGTCGGTCCGAGCGCCGGGCGGGCCGGGCTGGGCCGGCGCTGGCGGCGCGTGCCGGCCCCTCTCCGCGTCGGTCACTCGAGCGCCGCGCGCCGCCGCCGCGATGGAAAGGCGGGCACTGGGGCGCGCCACGTACCTGGTGGTGCTTCGAGGTCCGAGGTGGAGCGGAGAGTACGGTGTTGGCGCTGCCGACGCTTTCGTTTTATACGACGATCATCGGCGCGAGCAGGTCACTCTCGCTTTCCACGGCGCAGGCCCGGGCGGGGTCCGCCGCCGGTCCAGGGGGAGAGGGGCACGGCCGGCGCCGGTCCTAAGGGACGCTCCGTGGCGGATGTGGATAAGGGGGTGTTCGGTCTTGACACCTGTGAGGGGAGACATTGTTAGTGGCGTTTTGATAAAGGGCAGGATGTTCATTCCCGGGGTCAAGGTCGATGCTAATGGAGAGTGCTGGTGGCTGACCTCGTGAGTACGCTGGCGTGGAGGTAATCAACGCGGCTCGTGAGCTCGGAGAGTGGAGATGTTTCCGTCGTTGGTGAAGCAGTTACCGATTCCAGAGAACAAACTCTTTTTTTTTGCTGTCAAACTGCTTTAAGCTTCCATTTGCACTGTACGGAACACGTTATACTTGGGAGGTTGATGACGACTGATGCGACTGAAAGTCATCTCAGTGCCCGTAGTTTACGGAACACATTATACTTGGGAGGTTGATGACGACTGGTACGACTGAAAGTCATCTCAGTGCCCGCAGTCTTTGTACCAAGCAAATAATTTTCTACTTTTGTGCAATGTTTGTGAAATTTACACTCCTTTACACGCCTTTGCGCCTTACACGAATTTAGAATATCATTGAAAAATCGGCATGCACAGCGGAAAAATGGGCGTACTATTTGGTGGTCAGAGTGCATGTGGAAAGAGATGCCCTCCATCCGATCCTTAGTAATTACGCATCGGGTCTGTCATGACAGGCGCAACATCACATAAGGCGCTTACAGATCATACACAGCTCATGCAACGGCGCATTTGATACGGAAGCCGATTAGCAATCTCCTGATAGAAATGTCGCCTGGTGGCTTCCTTAGCCTATCGGAGCAGTGAACTATGCAGAACCACGTACGCATGCGGAATGCATAAGAGGCCACGTGACTTCATGCAAGGATTTCACAAGGCGATGTCGCATCCATCAGTGTTTGACGCTTGTGCGCCTGGGCAGGATCAGGATGCATTCGCCTGCACAGGCATAGGCCTGACCCAGGCGGACCTTTGCCGAGCACTCAGCGCGAATTTTACAGGGGTCATGGGGGTTCACTGTGGGTTGCCAGGAATAATTTCAGTTTTAGCCACCAGAAGTCAATAATGAGTTTTGAAAATTTCAGACATGTTATTGCAAGTTTGATTGATATGCAGCCATCGCGGGTTACGGGCGATGTCCTGTCTGTAGAGGCCACATTGATCCCATTCCCAAGTCAGGCACCCGATAGCGTGAATTTGTTTTGCATTATCATGTTCTGGAATGGTTATTTGTTCGGTGGTATAACATGTGCGAACATTTAAAATGGACTTAGATCAGGTCCAGTAGGATCAAGATAGTCCAAGTGCGCCAGGTAAGCATAATCCTCATGCCAACTTTCCATGACGGCTCAAAATGCTTTGCAATCGTGGATGGCGTTAGTCGATATTTGGTACGGCTTGGCCAGCGCTATCAAGTGTTACCTGTTTCATTACCGCATCAGGCGTCGTTCTCCAGATCATAAGGGGCGGGGCTGGCAGGCACACATGGCTCGGTTCGTATGACGTGATTTGACACGCGATAGGTCAAACCCATTGATGGCGGTCTTCGGTGTCTGGTTTAGCATATTGATCGCTATCTAATGCTGGCTTCTTCACCGTCATAGTACTGAAGAGAGCTAAATATACTTTACTAACTCCCCAGCGTACTCCTGTCGGTCTGCCTATCCTTATCTCCTTAAGCTGACACAGGGTACAGACGGCAGCGCAAACTGCAAACTGCTGTGCGGGTGCAGTGTAAACGCAGTCTTTGAAACCCACTTAAACGCATTTTGGTGATGCCAAATGCCACCAGACCTAGCGCGTCTCTTTTTCCAACTACCCTCTACTTTTTTGCATGTATCTGTGGTGCTACCTTTCGTAATTTTATCAGCTGGCCACATCTAACCGCTTGAGTTTCTGCCCTATCCTGTTGTCATTTTCCTCACACGCGTTGAAAAACACGCGGCTGAATAATACTCCTATCTTTTCAGCTAAATGCTATTTGCTTCTTTCAAAACATTACAAGAGATGACAACCTGCTTGCAATGATCGGGTTGATATAAATCAAATGCTTCGTATACGGATACTGATGATGCCGAACGTGCTTATATTTTTCATTGAATTAGCGCCAGCGCATAGATTCCAGGAGACCGCTCCTAAAACTGGCGGCTAAAGTTTGGCGTCTAAATTGTGTATGATTAGCGAACAGCGAAGGACCACTTGGTCTTTCGTGATCAACCAAGACTAAGACCAACCAAGACCAAAGAGGTCAACTGACCACTTGGTCTACGTCTGCTTAGCGAGCACTGATTTCACATCTGCAACTCACATCTGCAGCATGCTCTTCACCGTTTACCGTTATACCTCGGCAATGAAACGGCGAAATGGTGAGTCCAAGACTTTGGCTCTCATGCGCCAATGAAATGCTTATTGCGTGGCTCCTGACCTCACCGTCTGATCATCAAACCCGGGTAAACAGCATAATTTTCCGGTGAAGGCCTAACGTGCCTTAACACTCGGCATGGCCCGTCCTGCCTCTTGACGTCATCTGACCTTTAGCGCGGCCGCAGCTATCGACCGCAGTCTATGCCTGTCAGAGTAAACAACGAGCGCCTAAAGCGGCTTGAACCCACTCCACCGCGGGTGAGTGAATCCGAACGCAGGTGTTGTAACCAGCTGAACTGTTGCGAGGACAAAACACGTCATTGAATTATACATTATGATAGAAAGACATTCCTATCCGCATCACAGTGATAAGCTGCGCTACGTATTTGCCACCTCAGCCGTCATGTCACGGCCCGCATTAGATCAAAAGTATGCAACCCAAGTGTGACTGCATCACCCGGACCACCATATGTAGTGCCAGTTGGCAGTCCTGATGGTGACAACTATTGATAGTCAAGAAACCAGCAGGTACTTGTTAAAGGGATATTCAACATTTATATGGGGGTTTGAACTGAAATGCCCATCTAGGAGACCTTTCGGTGCAGTCCACAGCCCTGCCATTCTTAATACCTAAACCCCTCTAGTTTCTGGGCTACATGCCCGCGAAAATGGAGAGAGTATTTCGGGGAGAGTGTTTCAAGGTCGTCTTGGCATTCATGCGCCATGATAACGCCATACAAATGTTGTCATTTTATAAGTCATGCGACGATCAAGCCCGAGAAAAATATCATGATCGAGCCCTTCACATGCGGCGCTCGTGAACACGATTTCCAGATACAACAGCTGTTAATTAGATCTGAATCAAATTGTGCAGGATACGCTGATGTAATCAAACAATAACGTATCGAGGACCATATTTATTAAACAGAGAAATTGTACTGTCTGGAGCAGTTTTTTTCTTCTTAAAAACATACCATTAGTTATAAGCGAGCTTGTTCCATCATATCTGATGCTTGCTTCAATATCTTCAAATGTGAAACATTCCTTTTAGATGACAGCACCAAGCAAGCCTTGTTTACGTTGAGAAAACACGACGTTTCGAAGCTGTGCTCATGATCAAAATAGGGTAAGGTATCATATAGCGGTTACAGCGCGGAAAGACAGCTTGAAAACAGCGAAATGTAAAAAAATGAATAAAAGGGACAAAACTGATCAGCATTTGGGGCAAAATGGAAATTAACCAACGATAGGAGATTATCAAAAAGGGCAAAAGTAAAATAGATGAGGTCAAAGGGGGAATGTTCGAAGAGATCAAAGTTACCGGCCAACGATACCGACGGTGATGGAAGTGAAAATGAGAGAGGTAAAAGCATGCAACTACCTCAGAATGCCCAGCTCGCCCCGGTAACTTTTGTTGCGTTGACGCGCCGTGCGCAGTTCTTGAAGTACGGTGGTGCCTGTGCACAGAAGGCTTGATTCGTATGGCTATGACTTGGGCTTACCGCAGATCGCACCCACCGATGAGTTGCTACCTGCGTATGACTTTGTATACCGAAGTATATGCAATAGTGATCTCCAAACCGCCATAGCATGTAGTTATGTAAAAAGAAGATGCCCGAATTCAACAGTTTTACCAACGCGCCCTGGTTCAATACATACAAGAGCACTTGCTCATGGATAAAGTGACACCAGCGCGATGCAGTTTTACAGAAGCTACCCAATCCCGGTTTCCATTTTGCTTTGTCAGGTGAAGTTTTCTTGACGACGGGGCCCTAATGAACGCCCTCGTCTAGAAAATGTGAGAAAAAAACGCCATCAGCCGAGCATGAAAGTCGCGAAGGAGACCGTGGACACTTGACGTTATAAAATCATGGTTGACTCAGCCGTCCAGTCTTCATCACTGACATTCATCGAAGATAAAGGAAGTTAAGTGGGAAATAGCGATATTGGCTGAATATATTATAATTCCATAACACGGCACCAGCACTTGCCGGCACGGAACATATTAGGTTGCACTTCAAGACGTACTTACAAGCTTTTCAAAACTGCACATCTGCCGAGATCTTGGGAAATCAGCACTGATTTGGCGTAATTTCGCAGGGCAATGCATAACAAATTTTGGTTTGTATTCAAATCAACTAACGGTAAAGTCCCCTGCGCCAGCCAAACATTGCCGACGAGAGTTATGTTTGGGGATCTGCAATGCTATGAGAAACCCGCATCTTATGAACCATGTCGCACAAATTATATCGCAAAAATGATATGTCAATGAATATGCACCAGGCCCGGCTCCGTCAGTCCACAAAGTCGACCAACTTGGAATAGACTACGCCTTCAAACGGAATTAAGATGACCTTACAATAATTACATACGTGACATTCGTTAGGTAAATGACATTTTTTATAGTAAAAATCGTCAAAAATACAACTTTTCCTTTTTGGTCCTGATTTCTTTTTCTCAACGCAAATTATTAAAAATGCGGCTCACTTAACGAATGTCACGTATAATTACTGCAAGGAGGTCATCATAATCTCCTTTTAA